TATATATATATATATATATATATTCAATATAGGCCTAATTCACATTTGACATACCTCAGTCTGAGTTTGTTCTTATAATATGTTCTTAATTTTTAAGCAAGTTCAGCCTCAGTGTTCTTATAAAAAAAATTGTAGTTTATGTTACTGATTCCCGTAATACTGATTAAAATTGACTCACATCATCCTTCGATCGAGTCGTGGCAATTGATTTTCGGACAACGACGTGGACGGTTAATCATTCGATTTACTGACACTCCTTAGCAACTCACGGAGTGATACATCACAGTTCATTGTTCATATTTCTGGCCTAGTGACACATTAAAAAAAAATATCATTTAAAAAAATGCAGTGTTTCCTCAACAACACCCTCAATCGATTGGTATGGTAATTCCGGTCTGAATCTCTGCAGGAGGAATTAGGATGATTTTAAACGAGGGTATAACATGTATTTACAAAGCTATAAAACAATCCGTCTTAAATAGGGCTTTAAAAATATTAGTTCTCGTATATAGGTTCTTTTTAGGATGGTATGCCTATTATAATATAGATAGGCCTACACTTATTTTAAGAACACATTTAATAAGAACACTGAGGCTAATTGCTTAAAATATTTAAAAAAATTAGAAAACCATCCAATCAGGCTAGTCATACAGTAAAAATTATTACACTAAAAAATTAAATTATTACACTAAAAAATTATTTTGGTCTTATCTGTACCTATGTGATAGGTGTGACTATACTGTTAAAAACCCTTATAATACAGAACAGTAATATAATGCTCTACAATTATCTTTGAAAAGATAGTAAAATAAGAACAATAACATTTTGAGCCTGAAATTGCCAAATAATTAGAACACTGAGTCTAGGAAAAAAAATCACTAGTTCTTATATTATATTTTTAAAAAGTGTATGCTAGGCTACTACTCGTCTCTGACTCAGTATTAAATTACAATGTCCATTTAACAATAACATGTTTTTTTTTTTTTTTGGTTTTTTTTTTTTTATATAGGAGCATTTTTGTTTTTTAATGCGCATTACCAACTTCAGCTTTTGTCACACTAGCATTTGTTTGTGACGAAATACATGCGTTATGCCCAAATATGGGGTTGACATGCCCAACTATGGGACATCATCTTGCACATCTTTTTGTCAAGAGGGAAATTTGACTCTGGTGTGGACAGAACTTTGTGAGGGTGTAATATAAAACCCCTACTTACAATGATAGTTACATTGGTTGTTGACATTTAGGCCTAAGGTAATACGGGTAGGCTACATTTTTTGGTCAGCCTTGGGGAAAAGAGAGCCTCGTCAGTGTTGCATTTTTCAAATTATAACAATAACATCGAATGCTTCGATTGTGGAAGACACCCACTCAGAGCTTTGTTTTGAGATTTCTTTGTGCCCATTTCGACAACAAAGAAAAAACCCCATTGAAAGAGACTGGCGAAGCATTAAGGGAAAGAGGCATAATACAGAAAGAATATAACAAAACATCATGCAAAGACAGCTATTTGATTTATTACTCACTTAACTCTCAAATCCATACAGTGTTATATCTACGAATGTCAGGAGAATAAAGTTTTGTCATGTGTTTGTAGGCCTACATTTAGAACTAATTTTTATTTGCAATATAATTCATTTATGATATAAAATTAACAGAGGTGTCTAAAACAACAATTTTATGTATTGTTTTATTATTCAAGTGCTGTTAATTATGTCCAACTACTGTATTTTGTTATAAATTATGGAGCAAGATACAGTACACTTTTTGTATAACCAGTAAAGTTTGCCCAGGCCGAATTCAGACTCAAAATGTTTTTATTTTGTTCTTATTTTTACACACCTTTCAAACACAGAAAAGTATCATTTTACAGAAGTATATTAGTACTGTATTACATCCACATCTTCTGCAAATACTTTAAGGTATAAAAAGATGTGCTGTTTTTCAACCTCATTTGATATTTTTCCTCAGCCTCCATATTGGTCTTAATTTTTAAGCAATTTCAGCCTCGGTGTTCTGATAGTAAAAACATAATGTTCTTATTAAAAAAATGTAGCTTGAATAGGACCCACTTACTTCGCTGACGTACTCAGGGTGCTGCAGGTTTACGGATGGGTTGGAATCCTATTTTAATGTACACAAGCAAGAAGAAAACAAAATAAATCCCATGGTTAAAAGTGAATAATGACAAGATGTTTAAGGATATAGGCCTAACACATGCAGTACCATACCGAACTATTAACATTAAGGAAAAAATCTGGTTTGATGTTAAATTGATTGCTCAAAAAGTGTCAAAATATAAATTTTGTGTCGATTTTTGATTGTTGTAATCATTTTTTTGTTAATGTGTTCCCTACTAATGGTTGAACACGTGTTGATGTTACCATTTGACAGACTGAGAAAGTGTCGTCGTCCAAATAGGGGTTGGTCGTAATCCCCCTCATTTTACGAGGTTTCCCGCAATCACAGATAAAGGGTTTCCCCTGAACTGTGATGTCCTAAAAAGAGGGGTTCTAGTGTTTAACTTATGAAATAGGCCTAGTAATTTTGGTTTTGGTTTTAATAAATTACAGCACTCTAGGCTAATTATACTTGAATATTGTATCTAAGAGGTTGCTGTACTACAAATTTTGGTTTTTGTTTTAATAAATTACAGCACTGTAGGTTAATTATACCATGATTATACTTGAATACTGTATCTGAGAGGTTTCTGTACCACTACCGGTACGCAACAAAGCCCATAGCAAAATTTAGTTGAGGACGAGGTCATCTCAGAGGCCACATAGTCTGCTTGAGGAATGTCTTTTTATAACACTGGCGTGACCATGGCCTCTTGTTCAAAACTTACTATTCTACCATTCATAAGGTTTGATATTCAAAATGTTCATTACTATCCATGGAGGTATAAAAATCCGCTATACATAATTAAGAAAAAATGTCTGCTAGTCATAAAAAAGACAGTCTGCCACTCATGGATCACTAGTCAAACCTGTTCAAACTTAAAATAAATGTTCGCATACTAAATGTAAATAAAAGACGGAAATTAATATTTATGTTCGATGGTTCCATAAGGGTTTGCTGAAAGGGATTCGCTATAGTCATAATATTATATAAACTGTTTTAATTGTATTTTTTGTGTTTTTTTTTTCTGATATTGCGCTATAAATGCCTATTCAAACTGAAATTATGGTAAACATACTCTCATTCACGGTCGAAGAGACCTGTCATATTATGACTGACTGAAGGCCAAATGTCTGTATTTTGTTTGTTCTTATATTTTTATAAATTGTCGGGACCATGCAGGCCCACGATAGGGCCTACGGTTTATAAAGCTAAAAAAGTCCACGAACACTGATTGAAGGGTAAGCATGATTTTGTGATTTTCATTCAATCCTCATATGTCGGTCTACCTAATAAGTCGGTCGTCAGCAGTCA